GTTGCACTCCTGGTTGGAAGCTAAACTGCATTTCGTTGTCTCAGTACCTGTAATCTGTGCAATAACAATAAAGTTGAATCTAATCTTGAGCAGGAACAAATGTATTTACTCAGTACATATCTGACATTAACGATTAAACACGTGTGCATTCTTTATAAATGCAAACCGAGTCAAGCCGACTCCGGAGGTGGCGGTATGCACCTTAAAGTTGTTTGCAATCTGCCAAAAAACCGAGAGAAGAAGAAGAAGAAGACTCGGCGCTGTCCGACTTCAGGCGAGCTTTTTGAGACCTCCCCCGGCTGCGATCGGCTATTCTCGTCTACTTTCGAGGCGAGCCGCAACGCGTCTCAAACAAGCCTANATTGCCTCTGAATTGGATTATTATGGGATAGGATAATAACTTCATAATTAACTACGTCTGAAAGCAGAAGTCTAGGGCAAATAATTGCAAGTCTCTTCAGTACGCATGTCACGAAACGAGATGCATTGTGGGAAACCTGCTTCTGTAAAGTGGCATGTAACCAAATAATAAACGTATTATATTCTTTGCAAGCTCTTGCGGGGCCACATAAAATGAAGTCGCGGGCCGGATTTGGCCCCCGGGCCTTGAGTTTGAGATCCCTGGTCATATACACTGGCAGATTATGAGACACAATGCCCCACCACAAACATAGTTGCCCACACACAGACTTTAAAAATGTTTATTCATGTGTCTCCATTTTTGTCTCTTTTAGGTCATTTTGTGTAACTAACTAATTGTTTCAGTCTCTTTTGAGGTTTTTTTGTCTATGTGTTTTTGCCCATTTTGTGTCTCTTTGTAGTTGTTTTGATTTATCTATGTAGTCATTTTGTGCTTCATTGTAGTCATGAGTCTCTTTGTTGTTTTCTTTCTCTTTGTGGGCATTTTAAGTCTCTTTGCAGTTGTTTTGTGTCTCTTTGTAGTAACTTTGTGTCCAATTGCAGCCATTTGCATCTCTTAGTGGTTGTTTTGCCCCTTTTAAATGTCATTGTGAGTCTCTTTGTGGTCTTGTTATGTCTCTCTCCAGCAGTCATTCATTTTATTCTAGTCATTTTGGTGTGTTTGTAGTCGTGTAATGTATCTTTGTGGTATATTGAGTCCCTTCCGTTAAGTAAGACTAACATTTTGTTGATTGAGGTCATGGTGGCTCCTTAAATTTGGCCCCTGGTCCTGTACCAGCATTCACTAATCCATCCATGGTAATGCATATAGCCATAATACTTTAAGGATTCTTCTAAGCACATCCCTGTTTCTGCCACTGTTGCACTTCTGCTCTGCACGAAATCCACAAGCTGACAGTGGATTACTTTTCGTGTCATTACTTAGGGATGCTCTAAGAAATGTTTTTGGTTCGTCATGCTTCCAGAAACGTTGCTGAAACCTTGTTGGTGCAAAGAGGGGCTATTTTTTTTATTTTTCGCCAAATGGGAATAGAAGTGTGAATAAGCTGTTTCCGTGAGAGCTGAGCAATGTAGGACACCTCTGAAATCAGTGGAGAGTCATAGAAATAATACGCGTGTTTATGTATGCTCACATTTGTATGTGGGCGTTTGTGTTTTGTGCATGGACGGCTGTGAGTAAATATACATGTGCACCAGTGGGTGGAGGTGTGAGAGAAAGAGAGTGATAAAAGACAGAGTAAGAGAGGAGGGAGAATGGCAGAGAGAGATAATCCTTATATGCGATTCTCTGGTTGAGTGCCTTTGGGCATGTAGACAGAAGAGGCTGGGAGGCAGGGTTCGAGTTATGTGGGAGCCAATGGGAGCTCCCATAAGGAGGGCTCCCACGGACGCAGTGAAATCATACATCTGTGGGGGTCGCTAATACATTACCAACAACCATTAATTTAATCACAAATAATGCATTTGTCAATGTAATGAGTACTTTAACGAGGTAAATAGGCTAAAAGAAAAACTTGTTTTCCAAAAGAACTACGCATCTCTTGAATGACAATATGCCTGCGCTGCACCTCCAAGGTGATGTGTGTGTGCGTAGTTCAGTGGCGGACTGGACGTTCGGGACTAATCCCGATGAGCCAGTACTGAAGTGGGCCGGTCGGACGATGTGGGCCGGTCGGATAAGTCACTAGCACCCAGCAGTGTGTGTGTGTGTGTGTGTGTGTGTGTGTGTGTGTGTGTGTGTGTGTGTGTGTGC